GACGTTTATTGTTATGTATTAGTATTATAAAATAATGAAGAAATTATATTAACAAGAATATTATGTTATACAAATATTAAATATTTTTAATTTTCCATCCTTCAAAGTAATCACCATACATAAGAAAATCAAAAAGAAACCTAGAGTATATTTTCAATAAAATATTAGCTTAAAATTGCCGCCCCTAAAAATTGGCAACCCTAGGCAACTGCCTACTTTGCCTGACGCTAAATACGCCACTGAGTTTGATGTAAGAATCAAGTAATTCTCCAACTTTTGAATTAATGCAAAAATCATTATTAAACAAAACAAAATTAACCATAAAACTCCTTGGATTGAGAAATTTTAGGGGAAAAAAAATGAACACTTACAATTATTAAAAATCAATGTAAAGCAATTCAATGATCGGTTAGTAAATAAGTATTAAATGCTCATTTTGAACATTTCTAATTAATCAATATTTAATTATGCCATTCAACAAACATTGGTTTATCAGTATAAGTAGTAAACACRTTACTTTTTAGCATGACTGTTGGTACATTAGTTTTTTACCCTTATACTTTTAATAATACATTTAAATGAGCGTGTTAAATGCAATAATCTTTATATGTTTCAATCAAATTCAGTACCTGTGGTATTGATACAAAATAATCTCTTAATGAGCTTGGTTCTTTTCTCTTTCATTTTAAATCTGAAAAATTGTGGTATAAATTAATTTTTATTTTAATAAAGTCCTTCACCAATTTAATAAATAAATGTTATCATAAATGTATTTGACAATTCTAATTTTATGTTTTGCATGTCTAAAAATCTTCAATTAATTGCCACAAGTGAAAAAACATACTAAATTACTGTTTTCTTCAAATGTTTCTCCAGCACATACATTAGTAATTGTAGCATGGCCTAATTTTACCATTTTAATTTGCAGCTAAGTTTTCAAAATATTTATTATACTCAATGCTAAGTGCATGACATGAAAAATCCCCATAAATTCTTTGTTTTGAATTGTAGTAAAAATTTCTATAATAATAGAATATTTAAAAATATTACTAGTTATGTATGTATTTTAAACTAATTTAGCAGTAYATTTAGAAATCTAGATGAGTCATTGTCCTYCTCGAYTTCATATTTGTCTTCTTCCACAAAACAAAATATTCAATAACTGTTTTGCAGTTTTTATAATTAATTTATTAATTAAAAAAATTTTAAGGAGGACCTAAGCCATCTTAATAAGGCCCATATTCATGTTAACAACTAATGATTTGATTCATATTGTACCTTGTAAATTCATTGTATTTATTCAATATTGTAGGCTAATTAACTTGTAATATGGATGAAACAATAAGTATTAATGATTAATTATTTGTTTTAGTTCTAGACAAGTTAAAAAAAAGAAGAAAGTTCRTTGAAAACTCAAGAAGACCTTGTTAAATAGTTATAAGATACAAACAATACCGAACAACAAAAACTCGATGTATTAAAAAAAAATGTTCAATATACCTAGATTAGTTAGTTTTTTATTTTTGTCTTATCATTCTTAACTGTACTATATAGACGGGTCATTAAGACGGGAACTTAAAGACTATATTTTTGAGTATGAGTACACATTTTAATTTTTTTTATATCAGATATTTAATAGTTTAAAATTTTTATATTAAACAAATATTCTTAATTGTTGTATACATTTACTAAAAACAAACTTAAACTTTATTAAAACTGTATAACTGTATTTATATTTTAATGCATTGGTAGTTTATCACAAATACAATTTCTTTTGGTTGAACCTGCTGTAGTTTCTTCTCACATTTTCTGTATAATTTCTAGTTGAAAACTATTAGCAATTTCATTTTTATCGTTATTTATTATCAGTGCCRTAAAAATCATAGGTGCAGGCGGTGCACAGCACTGGGGCCCACAGGGCCCCTAGGGCCSTTGGTGGATAGATGTCAATTTTTTTTTTAATTYGATTCATAATAATTTTATTATTATCTTGTATTTAACTTCATATAACAAAATGTAAAAGCCTGGTTCGTTATATTCTGTGGTTTTACTTGGAACCGCTTATCAAAATATTGAGAAAATTTACTCAGCCAAGAGTGACATAAATAGATATGTTGATTATTATACGCGATA